AGTAAATGTACAGTGGTGTCTCGCTAGACAGTTAACCCGCATGACAGTTTTTTTGCTAGACATTGGCTTTTTGCGATTGCTATAGCAATTCGCAAAACAGTGATTCCTATGGGGGAATTTCACTGGACAATGTTTAGTCCCTGCTTCACAAACCAATTTTCGCTAGACAACGATTTTGACAGCTGCCTCCGCACTTGCAAACAGCTGTTTTCGGGACCTAAGCTTCACAAGACAATGATTTAAACAGCTAATCAGGGTTTCACAAAGCGGCTTTCCTATGGCTGATCTTCGCTAGACAACTATTCTTCCCCATTGGAACACATTAAACAGGTTTCAATGCATTCCAATGGGGAAATGTTTTTCGCTAGACAATGATTTCACTAAACAGCGATTTCAGTGGAACAGATTATCATCATCTAGCGAGGCACCACTGTAATAGGTTTTTCAATGTACGTTTTCAACGGAGCTTTTGCCAGTGCCACCTCCACCTCTGAGTTTCCATGGCTGAGCAGGGACTTGATCCCAGCTATGAGTCTGGGTATGTCACTCTGTCCATTACACCACACTGATATAGCTTCTTATTTAAGTAGAATTACCTTCTGGGCTCTGAGGGTCACTGAGTTAAATTCAGCTGCTTTCCTTTTAGGGCCACCTGCAATATAAATGGGGCCAGAACTCCCTAGGGCCTTAATCTGGAGTCTAACATTTGTGAATGTATTAAATCATGATAAAGAAAGGCGAGCTCCTGAGATTAAGTGCTGTTATTTTCTCTTATCACTTGGAACCAAAGCCATTTAAACAGCTTGGAAAAGTTCCTTTTTGGAAAACATCTCCCAAATTTTCCTAGCAAGCATGTCTAGCAAATGTTAAGAGATATGGTCCAATAGCATCAATAGATGTATCCAAATTACTTGGCCTACAGATGTAGATACAAGAATCTCTAGCATCTCTCACTTTAGAAATCAATTCATAAAGTTCACTTCATTATAAACAAGTTAAAGGCTGTTGTTGCTTGAGTGACAAGTCTAGCCAACTCATCCAACTCTTGTCTTCCCACTGTTGTCACAAGCTGTCTTCTGAACTGTGAGAGATATCCAACACATATTTTCCCAGGTCCTTACCTCTCACAACTACACTGTAGAATACCTTCAATTCAATCCATTTGTAGAAAGTTAAGTCTGAAGATGTTAGTAGGAGAGCAGATCTATTCTTGAATAATACAGCTGCAGCACTTTCTTTACACCAATGGTTCCGAACCTTGGGTCCCTAGATATTCTTGAACTACAACTCCCAGAAATTCTGGCAAGCACATCTAGCAATAAGGTATTTTGAGAGTTTTAGTCCAGGAATATCTGGGGACCCAAAGTTGGGAACCACTATTTTAAAACCATAGAGCTGCCTTGTACATTCATCAGACTCTTTGTTCATCAAGTCCTGGAATGTTTCCTCCAATTGGAAGCAACTCTCCAAAGTGTTTACAATCACTTTCTCTATAACTGGAAGTATCAGGGATGGAACTTCTGGCAGCATATGGTCTATAGTTTTACCATAGACTGGTGCCACCATTAGGTTTGTTGACCTCTTTGTCTCAGGTAGAAATTCAGGCAGGATGGCAAAACATGACCCCCTCCTGAACTATCTTGCTGTCATCACTTCCATCTCATCTTAACAAGGCATTTATATACAAACCTTTAAATCATCAGAGAAGAAAAACTGCTTCTGAAGTCTGCATAAATTCCCACACACTAAGCGAGTTCCGATCACTGTCAGCTGAACAGCTTAGAATGGTACCTTCTGTAAAACACTAAACTTGCTTAGACCTGTGCTGTTAAGTTTGGAGCAAAAACAACAAAGGTGCTGTTATTCAGATAAGAGAGTGAGTTCCAGATACTTTATGTGCTGTTCAAAGTATATTAAAGTAGGACTTCCCTATCCGCAAGATCAGTATCAGCTTCATTTATCCACTGCCTGAAAATGCTAAATAAAACCACTCAGAAATACATGTTTATACATATCCAGGGAGTATTTAACAGAATGGGTCACTAGGGCATCCACAGGGGAGTGGGGGTGGAGTGTAGCTTGGAACTGATCCCCCACCGATACCGCTGTCCTACTGTATTTTGAGAATTAAACACCAGCACTATATAACCCAGCTATACAATCCACAGATTATGAAGCATGTCACTTTAAAAAATGGGAGGAGGACTATTTGGGAGGATTCCTTGAGCCCCTGGCATTAGGGATGCCCCTTATATTAGGGATGGTGTGCAACATTTTCTTTTGTTGAGGGCCACATTTTTGGAAAGTAACTTCTCAGGTGTGACATGCTACCAGTGGATTGCTTTGCGTTGGTCTTGACAGACAGTCAAGTGGATTGGGCACCTTGACCTCTTTTGCCTTTCTCTAAGCACCCACATGTAGACCATTGCTCTTAGGTTACTTCTAGAGATGGGCATGAACCACTGGTTCAGTGCTTCATTTGGCTTCGTTTACCACCAAGATGGGTGTTTGGTGGCTTCGCCCCTCTGGCAGGTGCCCACTCAGAGGCAGTACCAAGAGGAGGGAAAGCTGGGACACTGCCTCCAAGTGGGTGCCCACTGGAGGGGGCAGGACGCCAAACCAACAAACACCTGTTGTGGCACTAAATGAACTAGGATGAACCGCTGAATCAGCAGTTCATGCTCGTTTCTAGTTACTTCCTCCCTTTTCAAGGTCTTAGCCAGTTCTTTGTTCTTTGTCATCTACAATAGCCAAGATTCAGTCATGAGACTGAGTCTCTATGATGGTTATTAGCATTCCTGCACACATGGAAAGCAGCTGCAGGGACTCTATATTCAAGTCCAGGTTATCACTTTACCTTCTTTATCTTACCTTGGATGAGTCTCTTGGAACAATAAATGCAACCTTTTATTCTTAGATTATTATGAGCACAGTATTCTATGTGATTAGTCTTAATTCATAGCCTGTTGTATTCTTGTAATGTAACTACTGTATTATAAATTCCTACAAATTTCCTACCACCCAGGCTTGTCAGGTCTCAGGATTTATATTCCTCTGGATTACCAGGAAGTGAGATAAATGTTCAAACAGTTGGTGATAGAGAAGGTGACACTTCAGCATAGATAACATAGATAATGTGTCAGAGTGGGTTTCAGGAGACTGGGGTTCAAATCCCCACTCAGCCATCAAAGCTCATTGGGGAATGGCACTAGTAAAACCACTTCTTAAATATGGCCAGTAGTGGGAGATGGTGAATATAGCAATCCTTTGTCAAGCAAGACTGGGAGAGACCTCTAATTCACACCACTAGAGGTGAAATCTGAAACCTACATTTTTGACCCAAATCCGTAACCCCCCATTTTGAAACTTTTCTTAAGCAAAGAAGCCCCCACTGCAAGTCTGGCCATGGTTTTTGGAACTTTTATTGTTTCTTAGCTTGATAAATGTGATTTTTAGTGGTACAGTAAAAAATACCATTCACCATTTCTGTCTAGTACTTTAAAGGTTGTGTTTAAGCTTGAGCTGTCCTCTTAAACAAGCTTACTAGGAATTCAGCCCCAATTTACCTGTTAATAGCTGCACAGTCCCACTGTGTCCCCAGAAGTAAATGGTGAGCCACTTCTGAGTACTTGATAGCTAGAAAACCCTGGAAAGGGTAATCACAAATCAAAATTGACTTGATAGCAAGTAATTATGTTAATACTTTCAGGACCAGTTTTTCAACTTTTTTCTGCTCACAGATTGCTTTTGGCACAGTTGCTTTTATAATCACTTTGGCAGCTAAAAAGTGATAAACTAATAGCCAGTCCTATTGTACAGATACTAAAGATGTTCATCCCAAAATGACACAGTGAGGCACTGCCATCTTGAACTCATGGTACTCTTAATCAAGTTCCCACTTTCAGCTCATGTATACAGTACTTTACCTTTACCTTATACAGTACTACAAACCATGTTAAAAACATCTATGTCATAATTCATATAGCAACTCTGTATGCAAGCCAGAAACTTTATATTTGTATGGCTGGGATCCCAAAGACAATTAGTGAATTCATTAAACACAAAAGACCTCTATCTCTCTTTAATACACGCACACGTGCACTCACGGATGCACGCACGGATGCATGCACGCACGCGCGCACGCACACACACACACACACACACACACACACACACACACACACACACCAGCACAGAAACTCCTGTTTCGTATTGACTGGTCAATAGCTATCAATTCCAAAATTTCAGGGCCAAAGTGTGAGACCAGAGATGAAGGACTTCTGTAGCAAAACAATATCCATGCATATATGTGTGCATGTGTGTGTATATTAAAATGATTTCTATTTCACAGAAGCAGATACTAAAGCTAAGTCTCAATCAGACAGACACTCCAGTTTAGCTCAAGAGCAAGGTAGTTTCCCAAATCTTGATTCATTAGCCTTTTTCTTCAGTTAATACCTCTGATTGTGCTGGCTTTGGGCTGGAACAAAAATCATGAAAAACAGGGAACCCTAGACAGATCTGACATATTTTGAAGGAAAAGAAGCTCATTGGGTGTGTTATTTGGGCTTGAAGTATATTTCTTTGAGATCAGGGGCCATCTGAAAAATGTGAGTCACAAAACCTTCCACTAAGTCTTCACATGCAGATAAAGCAAGGTTCATTTTTAAAAATTCTTTTCCCATTTTGGATTCTTTTCCTTGAAATTAGTGAAAATAATTAATATACTAATATGCAGTTTCAGACCTTCCCCCAATGATTCTGTCAAAGTTCTGCCCACAGACACTTCCCCCCCACACACACATGCACTGGGGAAGAAGGAGAGGGAGAGAGAGAGACAAAGAAAATAGCTTTCTTCTCATGGCTGCCTTCAGAATGGAAGGATCAACACAAGCTTGCCATTATGGAGGAGTAAGATGAAAACTGCATGCTCTTTTCAGAAGAACAAATGTACACAAAGAAGCAGGGACAAAAAGAGACAGTGAGCCTTGTTACTTTACCTTTGTCAAGGTTGTGATTTTATCAGCTGTGAAGGAAGGCAGGTTGTTTGATCTATTTGGCCATCTCCTCTTCACCCATTTTCCTTGCTGCTGCTGCTGCTGCTGCTGCTGCTACTACTGACGTTGTTGCTGAAAGAAGAAAAGAGGCTGCTGCCTCAATGTCTATTTTAAAACCTAGCAGGATTTGTTTCCTATCAGATGGTAAATGGGCAAGAGGGAGAAGAGCAGATGCGAGACAGCCAGTCTGACAGAGGCACGTGTGAGCACATGCCACCACATTGATACATAACACACTATGCACACTCACCTCAGTGTTCATGAGATGTAAATGCATAAGGTGGCCACCTCTGTTCTGGGAGTAAAAGCATAGGGCAAAGCTTTCTATTTTGTTATGTATGTTAATTTATATAGACAGATGTATGCTCTAGAGGAAAGGTTCTTAATCTTTCAGTGGACAGTACCCTTTGAATCTCAAAATATATTGTTGCATCCTCTAGAAAAATGTGTTCCAATTTATTTGTTAGAAAATTACATTTATTACAAAGCAATTTATTTATTGAAAAACAGATATACATATCTGTAATGACATGAATTAAAATAATATCTCAATTTTTTGGGACTAATTTGTTCTTTATTTATAATGATATTTTAAAAGTGGGGTTCCTTTTTTGAAAGGCAGCAGCGTATGCCAGCACTTGCATTTAAGTGATTTCTAGTTTTTGTTTTTATATGCAAAAGTGATGGACATCCCATTCCACACAGATAGGTGGTAACAAATGGTAGAAGTGTCTGCAACGCTGCCTTCACCAGTTGTGGAAATGCTTCTAACTAAGCACACCAGAATTGTTCTAAGTCCAGTTTTTCAAATTCCGTTTGAATAAATGCATTGGCCCATATTTCAATAATACTGTTTTTTTTATTGAATTACCATCGTCTAGAATTAAGGTCAAAAAGAGATCCAGTATCCATCTCTGCTCTTTGCCAATATCTCCCATGGAAAAATATCCATGAAAAGATGCACTCACTTGTTGCAAAGGTATTACAAGTTCAGGTAAAATTGTGATTTTCTCATTTTCCAGAACGATTTCATTAAACAAAGGAAAGTTAGCAAAATTACCATTTTCAACTTGATGTATCCAAATTTTTCAAGAAAAGCAGATAATTTTTCAGTAGCTGTTATTTTGGCCTTACCATATCCTTGCTATTGATATATTTAATTCATTCAGGTGAGTTAATATATCTGTTAATTAGGCCAGTTGAAGTAGTATGTCTCTTCTTTCAAAGTCTTTAACTAAATTACAATTTTGGTTAGTAAGTGGAGCGAACAGCCCTGCCCTCCCCTGTCCGCCACAGCATAACAAGGGAGAAGGAGCCAATGAGTGGATGGAAGGCGGAGTCAAGGGGGGAGGGGGCTGGATATAAAGGCTGGCATAGAGAGGCTGAGGGACTTCCTGGCAGTGAGAGACAGTGTGAAACTTAAAAGTGAACTAAGAGGAAGTAGAGATCTGTGAGAATGATGAAGGAAATAGAGAATTAAAAGGAGTGTAAAGTTAAAGTAGAATTGATTCAAATATAAGTGATTAGCAACCTGTGATTTACCTATTGAATATTAATCAGTTGTTATCTTCCCTGATCTAATAAATGACTTAAGTTTTAAAAGCACACATGTCTCCATGATTAAATGGTATTAAGGCAGTAATAGCTGGTGGCAGCGAAGAAAGAAGAGCGAGAACCTCATGAAGGCCTGGGGGAATAGGGGCTTCAGAGGAAATCGCCACAGTAAGAAAGTGAATAATTTCCTCACACATTTCAAAAACCATGCTTAGCATATATCTGTTGGAGAGCCACCTTATATCAGTGTGATAAAGCACCAATTTCTTCTAAAAATGCACGAAAGATAATTTTGACTTTATCTTTGATAAAATGATTAAGCACCTTCCCTCAGATATAATTTACCACATTAGTATTGTTACAACTGGCAAAGTTTTTGATGCATGTGCATGGCAGTGCAACATACAATGCGTTATTGTAACTTGCATATTTCATATATGTATAAAATCCAGAAGTTTTGCCTAACATTGCAGATACACCATAAGTGGAAATTGAGCCTATTACATTCATTGGTATTTGATGTTTCAAAAAAATCCAAAAAAAACCTCCTTAATGACTGTAACAATCACCTCTCCCTAAAGAGAGTATGATGCTGGGCAAGGAGTCACTGTGTGCACAAATCTACCACCTTTATCTCTGAGGTTGGTAGTCTAGGCCTCAGACGTGCATAGCATAAACCCCATGGACAACCCTGACCTTAAAAGAAATATTTATTTACTTTCAAAGCACGTAAGCATGGGCTTTGTGTTTCTTTAGATAACACAACAGCTCTGCAATGTAGGACCACTCAATAGCAGCAAGTTAGTGACCTTCTTCCAATCAACTGGATCAAGGTGTAACCCTGCTGTTTCAAGACAATAGTCCACAGTTCAGATTATAATTGTTTTATTAAGAAAATAAAGTTTCATAGAAATGAGTTGTTTGAAAAAGCATTAGCATAAACATATCCAAAAGTTACAATCATTAAATAAAGCTTCTATTTCTTTTTAAAATAAGAAAAACTAAAATCTAACTAGGTAATCATTGTAGCTTCTAAGATGGGCTTTCCCCCCTCCTTCTTCAGGTTTTAAAAAGACAAACTCTTTTTCCTGTTGCTACATCTCGCTAACATTCCATCACATGTCACGAACCATCAACAAAACATAGAACTCTTCACATATCCTATCATCCATCTTTTTTCTACATGTCTAAGACCTCCTCCTTCTCAGCAATTAACCAATTAACTTCAAAGAGGCTTAACACAACTCTCCACTAGAGATGGGGACAAATAAAAAAATGACAAATTGTTTTGATTCATGATTTATCAATGTTAACAAATCAACGAATATAAATACAGTGGTACCCCGCATAGCGACGTTAATCCGTTCCAGGAAAAACGTCGCTATCCGGAAACATCACTATCCAAAATGAAAACCCCCATAGGAATGCATTAAACTCCGTTTAATGCGTTCCTATGGGGACAAAACTCACCGCTAAGCAGGAATCCTCCATAGGGCCGCCATTTTCGCCACTACGGTAAGCGAGGAATGAGCGCGAAAATGCTGCGGGTGGCCATTTTCTACATCCGGTGGCCATTTTGGAACTGCCGATCAGCTGTGGGGAAATGGGGCCTTTGGGAGGACTGCGGGGGAGGGCTCCCCCACGGTCCTCCCAAAGCCCCCGCCGGCATTTTCACCCAGCTGGCCAGCGGGCGCTTCAGAAGGACTGCGGGGGTGGGCTTCCACGCACTCCTTCCGAAGCGCCTGCCGTCTCCCCCGTGGTCCTTCCGAAGCGCCCACCGATCAGCTGTGGGGAAATGGGGCCTTTGGGAGGACTGTGGGGGTGGGCTCCCCCGCGGTCCTCCCAAAGCCCCCGCCGGCATTTTTACCCAGCTGGCCAGCGGGCGCTTCAGAAGGAC